GGGAGTTGTAGTTGCTGGGATTTATAGTTCACCTACAATCAAAGAGCATTCTTAATCCTACCAATGATTAAATTGGGCCAAACTTCCCACACAGTACCTCCATGACCAACAGAAAATATTGTGTTTTCTTGTGGTCTTTGGTGACCCCTCTGACACCCCCTCGCAACCCCTCCAGGGGCCCCGACCCCCAGGTTGAGAAACACTGGTCTAGTGAATGCCATGGCTCAATGCTATGGAACTGTGGGAGTTATAATTTGGTGCTATAGCACAGATGGCTCAAAACTTTATGAAATAACATATCCCAATCCTGGAGCTTTGAGCCACGGTGGTTAAAGTGGTGTAAAACTGCATTAATTCTACAATGTAGATGCACCGTTAGAGCTTTTTAAAAGGGGGGGGGCAGAAAGGCACAAACAATCTCCCTCGTTGCATCCAGGATGCTAAAAGCAGATAACAACTTTGTACTTACCAGAATTTTCTGTGCTTTGGCATTATAGTTTAGACCTGAGCAGCCGGCGAAACAAGGCGTGACGTATTCAATGTTATTTTGACCACAAACGGGGTTGAAAGCCGAAGAGGAGCAGTTGCACTGGCGGTTGCAATTTGCAAAGAGTTGTTCTGGTCCAGAACTGGGGAGGGAAAATTATTATTTATTTATTATTTATTTCGAGGTTTTATATACCGACCCTCTCACCTTCAAAGAGGGTTTCGGACCGGTTCACAACATGTGTTAACATACAAAGAATATACAATAACAACACAATGCCACTTCATTACACGATTAAAACATCAGCACCATACACATTAAAACATTATCATCCCAGTTAAAAGAGCCAAATCGTCCGACACCATCACAATCCCATTCATCCTCCTCCTTTCATGTGGGCAAAGAATTAAATCAGTTGTCAAATGCCGCGTTCCACAACCAGGTCTTTGTTAGTTTCCTGAACGTCATGAGGGAGGGGGCAGTTCTGATCTCTAATGGCAGGGAGTTCCAAAGTCGAGGGGCCACCATCGAGAAGGCCCTGTCCCTCATCCCCACCAGCCGTGCTTGTGCAGGCGGAGGGACCGAGAGCAGGGCCCCTCCAGACGATCTTAGTGGTCTTGATGGTTTGTAGGGGAGAATACGTTCGGAGAAGTAAACAGGGCTGGAGTCGTTTACGGCTTTATAGGTTAACACCCGCACTTTGAATTGTGCTCGGAAGCTAATCAGCAGCCGGTGGAGCTGGTGTAACAGCGGAGTGGTGTGCTCCCTGTACCCAGCACCCGTTAGTAGTCTGGCTGCTGCGCGTTGTACTTGCTGCAGCTTCCGGGCAGTCTTCAGAGGCAACCCCATGTAGAGAGCATTGCAGTAATCTAAGCGGGATGTAACCAAAGCGTGGACTACCGTGGCCAAGTCAGACTTCCCAAGGTACGGACGCAGCTGGCGCACAAGTTTTAATTAGTTTTAAAATAGTATTATTAAACCCGGAGGAAATCAGAGTCGGAGGAGAATATAAGGGCCCTCCCTCCAGTCCAACTCCCTTCAAGAAGACACAATCCAAGCTCTCCCGACAGATGACCATCCAGCCTCTGCTTGAAAACCTCCAGAGACAGAGATTCCACTACACTTCCAAGGAGAAGCATATCCATATAATCAGAGAATCCTAGAATCAAAGACTAGGAAGAGACCTCCTGGGCCATAATCCAGTCCAACCCCATTCTGCCAAGAAGCAGGAATACTGCATTCAAATCACCCCTGACAGATGGCCATCCAGCCTCTGTTTGAAAACCCCAGAGACAGAGATTCCATCCACTTCCAAGGAGAAGTATATACATATCACAGAATCCTAGAATCAAAGAGTTGGAAGAGACCTCCTGGGCCATCATCCAGTCCCACCCCATTCTGCCAAGAAGCAGGAATATTGCATTCAAAGCACCCCTGGCAGATGGCCATCCAGCCTCTGCTTGAAAACCTCCAGAGACAGAGATTCCACTTCACTTCCAAGGAGAAGCATATACATATAATCATAGAATCCTAGAATCAAAGACTAGGAAGAGACCTCCTGGGCCATAATCCAGTCCAACCCCATTCTGCCAAGAAGCAGGAATATTGCATTCAAATCACCCCTGACAGATGGCCATCCAGCCTCTGTTCAAAAGCTTACAAAGAAGGAGCCTCCACCACACTCCGGGGCAGAGAGTTCCACTGCTGAACAACTCTCACAGTCATCTCACAGAAATCATAGTGTTGGAAGAGACCTCATGGGCCATCCAGTCCAACCCTATTTTGCCAAGAAGCAGGAATATTGCATTCAAATCACCCCTGACAGATGGCCATCCAGCCTCTTGTTTCAAAGCTTCCAAAGAAGGAGCCTCCACCACACTCCAGGGCAGAGAGTTCCACTGCTGAACGGCTCTCACAGTCAGGAAGTTCTTCCTCATGTTCAGATGGAATCTCCTCTCTTGTAGTTTGAAGCCATTGTTCCATTGTGTCCTAGTCTCCATGGCAGCAGAAAGGAAGCTTGCTCCCTCCTCCCTATGATTCCCCCTCACATATTTATACATGTCTACTCTCAGCCTTCTCTTTTTAAGGCTAAACATGCCCAGCTCCTTAAGCCGTTCCTCATAGGGCTTGTTCTCCAGTCCTTTGATCATTTGAGTCGCCCTCCTCTGGACACATTCCAGCTTGTCAATATCTCTCTTCAATTATGGTGCCCAGAATTGGACACAATATTCCAGGTGTGGCCTAACCAAAGTGGAATAGAGCATGGGGAGCATGACTTCCCTAGATCTAGACACTATGCTCCTGTTGAAGCAGGTCACAATCCCATTGGACGTTTTTGCTGCCACATCACATTATTGGCATATGTTCAACCTCCTGTCCACGAGGACCCCAAGATCTTTTTCTCACGTCCTGCTCTCAGCCCAGGCATCACCCCCCCCCCCCATTCTGTATCTTTGCATTTCCTTTTTTCTGCCAAAGTGGAGTATCTTGCATTTGTCCCCATTGAACTGAATTGTGTTAGTTTTGGCCCATCATCTCTCTAATCTGTGAAGACCATTTTGAATCCTGCTCCTGTTCTCAGGAGTATTGGTTCTCCCTCCCAATTTGGTGTCATCTGCAAACTTAATGATCATGCCTTCTAACCCTTTGTCTAAGTGGTTATGGAATATTGTGTCAGGGGTGATTTGAATGCAATATTCCTGCTTCTTGGCAGGGGGTTGGACTGGATGGCCCATGAGGTCTCTTCCAACTCTTTGATTCTAGGATTCTATGTTGATTTCTGACCTCCCGAATTCAGGAGGCTCCCAAAAAACGGATCGGGACCCCCATCAAAAACTGAGACACTGAAACAGTTTGCAATTTTTGCAGACCTCACTCCCTCTGAGGATGCTTGTCATAGATGCAGGCGAAACGTCAGGAGAGAATGCCTCTAGACCATGGCCATATAGCCCGAAAAAAACCTACAACAACCCGGTTTGCAATTTACCCAGATTGCACAAGCCTGATATCTTCTACAGAATGTTCTGTATAACATTTCCCTAATTGATCCTGCTATTGTAAATTTGAACAGTTTTCAAGCTGGGTGTCTTCCATGCATTTCAATTTTTTTTTTGTTCTTAAGCGTAGCACAGTACATTTCTCCCACTTGATCTTATATATATATTTAAATAAACTCTGAAGATCACCTGGGAAGGAATCCCACTGGAGCATTGCAGCGCACCCAAATACCTGGGAGTCACTCTGGACTGTGCTCTGACCTACAAGAAGCACTGCCTGAACATCAAGCAAAAAGTGGGTGCTAGAAACAATATCATACGAAAGCTGACTGGCACAACCTGGGGATCACAACCAGACACAGTGAAGACATCTGCCCTTGCGCTGTGCTCCTCTGCTGCTGAGTATGCATGCCCAGTGTGGAACACATCTCACCACACTAAAACAGTGGATGTGGCTCTGAATGAGACATGCCGCATTGTCAAGGGGTGCCTGCGCCCTACACCACTGGAGAAATTACACTGCTTAGCCGGTATTGCACCACCTGACATCCGCCGGGAAGTGGCAGCCAATAGCAAAAGGACCAAGGCAGAGACATCCCCAGCTCATCCCTTGTTTGGGTATCAGCCAGCACGCCAACGACTTAAATCTAAACATAGTTTTCTAAGATCTACAGAGACACTCGCTGGAACACCTCAGCAAGCGAGAGTCCAAAAGTGGCAGGCCCAAACCCAGCACCTCAACCAATGGCTGATACCCAATGAGAGACTCCCTCCTGGGCACACAGAAGATGGGGCGACTTGGAAGGCACTGAACAGACTGCGCTCTGGCACCACGAGATGCAGAGCCAACCTTCAGAAATGGGACCACAAAGTGGAATCCTCGGCATGCGAGTGGGGAGAAGAGCCAACCACTGACCACCTGCTGCAATGCAACCTGAGCCCTGCCACATGCACAAGGGAGGACCTTCTTGCAGCAACACCAGAGGCACTCCAAGGGGCCAGATACTGCTCAAAGGACATTTAACCAACTACCAAACTCACAAGATGTGTATTTTTCTGTCTGTTTGCTTTGTTCTGTTAGAAATGTAATATATAACGGACTGGTTGCTCTGACACAACAAATATAAAATTTAAAAAAACACCCCTTGCTGAGGATGATTGGACTTGAAAGTGGTCATCACACCCTTTCCCAATCCACAACCATTGGCTGTTCCTTTGGGTGGGGTCTCTCAAAGCAAAGCCAGCAAGCCACTGTACCTTCCGGAGGGGTCGAGGCCGGCCACGGCATGCGTGGGGCAGCCCAGGAAGAGGAGGGGGATGTCAAAGAGGACGCAGAAGCCCAGCCCGAATATGGACATGATGGTGGCGTAGCGGAGGCTGAGGTGGCAGTTCTTCATGATGGCGCCTCCGAGGATGATGCCCAGCATGCCGCTCGGGAGCTGGATGGTTCCTGCGGGGAGAGGAAGAGCCATCAAACGCAAGAATTGAAAGCATAAAGCTGTGCTTGATTCCTAAAGTGTAACTTTTAATGTTCCGGTAACGTGTTTACATTTGTTTACATTACACAAGATCAGATTGCCATGTGGTCTGAGCTTCCAGCGGTGTACAGCGAGCAAACGGATGTGTTTTATTCTGCTCTTGTAAATAGCTTGTAGTTTAGTATTGTGTTGTCACGCACTGGGCCTATAGCAATTGGCTTTTGAACAGGACGTGCTCTTTGTGCCCAGCGGGAAGCCAGGGTGCCTCGAGTGAGAGGCCCTAAGGATTTTCCTATACAGCAGTGTTTCTCAACCTGGGGGTTGGGACCCCTGGGGGGGGGGTCGCGAGGGGATGTTGGAGGGGTCGCCAAAGACCATCAAGATACACAGTATTTTCTGCTGGTCATGGGAGTTCTGTGTGGGAAGTCTGGCCCAATTCTATCGTTGGTGGGGTTCAGAATGCTCTTTCATTGTAGGTGAACTACAAATCCCAGCAACTACAACTTCCAAATGTCAAGGTCTATTTTCCCCAAACTCCACCAGTGTTCCCATTTTGGAATATTGAGTATTCGTGCCAAGTTTAGTCTAGATCTATCATTGTTTGAGTCCACAGTGCTTTCTGAATATAGGTGAACTACAACTCCCAAGCTCAAGGCCAATGCTCAACTACCCCTTTCATTATTTTTTGCTGGTCATGGGCGTTCTGCGTGTCAAGTTTGGATCATTTCCATCTCTGGTGGAGTTCAGAATGCTCTTTGATTGTAGGTGAACTATAAATCCCAGCAACTACAACTTCCAAGGTCCAGAGAATGAAAATATATCCTGCCTATCAGATATTTACATGTTGATTCATAACAGCAGCAAAATTCCAGTTATGAAGTAGCAACAAAAACAATTTTAGGGTTGGGGGTCACCACAACATGAGGAACTGTATTAAGGGGTCGCAGCCTTAGGAAGGTTGAGAACCACTGCTATACAGAGTCTTTAGAAGCTTGGAAAGTTTAACAAAGTCCTTTATTATTGCTTAGGTCTTCAACCAAACAATCAAATACTTCTCAGATCTTCAACAGGTCAAACAAATACTTCAAGGCTTTGAATCAACTGGTGACTTTCTTAATCTTGTCCACAAGGGACAGGCAACTGTCTTCGTGAACTCTTTCTTTTCTTTAAGAGGAAAACCCTTTTTAACCCCTCCTTGGGCAATCTCCTTTCTAAACTTTGCTGGTGTGGGTTCTACTCCTGGCTCCAAACTGCTTCTTGGGTTCCGAGTAGACCTACCAGTCAAGGCTTTGTAGAGTCTCCAGCTGGAGTCCTTTGGAACTGATTTCCCCCGGATGCTGTGAGAAACAAAGCTTCTCTACAGGCGGAGCTAATCCACGTCCTGTAGCTAAGCTTTCCAATGCAAGACTGACCTAAAATGGCTCCCTCTCCTCCCAGAGCCCTGGGGAAAGGGGCGGAACCAAAACTTAACAATGATTGATGGGTCATTGGCCCTATAATTGCAAACCAAGGGAAGCCACCTTATTGCAAAATGCATGGGACTTTGGAATACATGCAAACACTCAAAGAAAGAAAAGGAAGTTGGAGCTTTTGATACAGCCGTACCAGAAAAAAGTATTTTGCAATAAAGTAAGCCACTCCAGGCTTTGGAGTTGATCTAAAGTTGCATGCTGAATTTATTTTTCTTTGTGCTCTCCCTGCAATAAATGAACAAATTGCAACACCCAAACTTGCTTCAACAGACAAGGGTTCTTTCTCCCACCCTGGACATTACTCCACACTCTACTTGTCCCACTTCCCAACAAACCTCTGAGGATGCCATGATCCACAGAGGCAGGTGAAACGTCAGGAGAGAATGCTGCTGGAACATGGCCATACAACCTGAAAAACTCACATCAACCCAGTTGATCCTTTGTTAGATTAGCTTCATGCCCAAGAGCTTTTATTGATTCAGTCCTTGGCTGGTTCACATCTTATCTCTCAGGTCCATCACTGAATGTGATCTCTGAATGGCATGTATCGTCTCCTTCCAATTGAGATTCCACAGATCTCTGTTTTGGACCCTTTGTTGCTTTGTTTGATATGCTATCTTCAGATCAGGTATGGGCAAACTTTGGCCCTCCGGGTGTTTTGGACTTCAACTCGCACAATCCCTAACATAGAATCATTAAATGCTAATCAAGGTGGCCAATTGCAACATTCACACCTATCTCAAACAGACAAGAGTTCTTTCTCCCACCTTGGACATTCCAAAGATATAAAAACTCAATTTTCCTAGTTTCTAACAAATTTCACAACATCTGAGGATGCCTGCCATAGATGCAGGCAAAATATCAGGACATAATGCTTCTGGAACATGGCCAGACAGTCCGGAAAACTCATAACAACTCAGTGGTTATTGCTGTCTATTTGAAACTGGCTTTCAGTAATTTCTCCTTCTTCCTCTGGTTTCCATCCAACATTCCGGTTCAATGTCTTGAGTCCCAAACTGAGTGTGATAGAAACAATAACAACAACAACAACAACATGAGGATGAGAGGAGATATGATAGCCATGTATAAATATGTGAGAGGAAGCCACAGGGAGGAGGGAGCAAGCTTGTTTTCTGCTTCCTTGGAGACTAGGACGCGGAACAATGGCTTCAAACTACAAGAGAGGAGATTCCATCTGAACATTAGGAAGAACTTCCTGACTGTGAGAGCCGTTCAGCAGTGGAACTCTCTGCCCCGGAGTGTGGTGGAGGCTCCTTCTTTGGAAGCTTTTAAAGCAGAGGCTGGATGGCCATCTGTCAGGGGTGATTTGAATGCAACATTCCTGCTTCTTGTCAGAATGGGGTTGGACTGGATGGCCCATGAGGTCTCTTCCAACTCTTTGATTCTATGATTCATGAGGAGATTCCATCTGAACATGAGGAAAAACTTCCTGACTGTGAGAGCCGTTCAGCAGTGGAACTCTCTGCCCCGGAGTGTGGTGGAGGCTCCTTCTTTGGAAGCTTTTAAACAGAGGCTGGATGGCCATCTGTCAGGGGTGATTTGAATGCAATATCCCTGCTTCTTGGCAGAGGGGTTGGACTGGATGGCCCATGAGGTCTCTTCCAACTCTTTGATTCTATGATTCTATGATTCTATGACGTTGTCCAGGGGACGCCCAGATGATTTTGATGTTTTTATCAAAGGTCATGAGTTTGATGCCAGCCTGGATCGGAGTAAGCTCCCGAACAATTGTCTAGCTTGCTGTCAACCTTTGCAGCCCGAAAGACAGTTGTATCTGTCAAGTAGGAAATTTAGGTACTGCTTATGCAGGGAGTCTAATTTAACTCATTTACAATGCCATAAAAAATCTTTCCAGCAGCGTGCAAAAGAATGAGGAAGTACTCCATCGGTGTCACATGTAGACAGTGAAGCAACAGCTCCCGCGGTGGTCAGAATTCAATCTTGCCCTCAAGAAGCTGGGAGTCATAGAATCATAGAATCAAAGAGTTGGAAGAGACCTGGTGGACCATCCAGTCCAACCCCATTCTGCCAAGAAGCAGGAAAATCACATTCAAAGCATCCCCAACAGATGGCCATCCAGCCCCTGTTTAAAAGCTTCCAAAGAAGGAGCCTCCACCACACTCCGGGGCAGAGAGTTCCACTGCTGAACGGCTCTCACAGTCAGGAAGTTCTTCCTCATGTTCAGGTGGAATCTCCTCTCTTGTAGTTTGAAGCCATGGCTCCATTGTGTCCTAGTCTGCAAGGAAGCAGTAAACAAGCTTGCTCCCTCCTCCTCCCTGTGGCTTCCTCTCACATATTTATACATGGTTATCATGTCTCCTCTCAGCCTTCTCTTCTTCAGGCTAAACATGCCCAGCTCCTTAAGCCGCTCCTCATAGGGCTTGTTCTCCAGACCCTTGATCATTTCAGTCGCCCTCCTCTGGACACATTCCAGCTTGTCAATATCTCTCTTGAACTGTGGTGCCCAGAATTGGACACAGTATTCCAGGAAGTTAAATAGCTTCTGTGTGTCTGTCTATATATGTTGTATGTCTAAATGGCATTGAATGTTTGCCATGTATATATGTGCATTGTGATCCACCCTGAGTCCCCTGCAGGGTGAGAAGGGTGGAATATAAATACTCTAAATAAAATCAATCAATCAATCAATCAATCAATCAATCAATCAAAAGCTGCCTAGGCCCATACCTATGATCATGTTGGCCAGAGAAGCCGTCAAGGTGAACTGCTGCTCGAGGAATTTGGCCATGAAGGTGGCCAAGCCAGCAATCATCCCGGAGAGGTTGACCAGGGCAAAGATGAGCACCACAAAAATGGGGTTCTTGATATTTCGGAAGAAAATCACGGGGAACACTGCAATGGGCAAAGGAAAGAAGAGCAGATGATCTCTCTTCACAAATACAAGAAATACAACAACAACAACAACAACAACAACAACAACAGGTCCTGCTCATTAAAGATTGGCATTACGTTGCAAACAAGGCTGTGCTCCCTGGCATTGCAAAGGAAGGAAATTATTTAGTTTTTTTATTTATATCCTGTTTTATCCCTCCATACGGAGATTCAAAACAGCTCACAATCAAAAACATTACAACGTAAAATATACAATAATAAAACAGTATATCATTATATATTACTAGCTGTCCCCATTGCTGTGGCCCAGTCTGGTGATCTGGAAAATAAAGTAATGAGAAAGTGTTGGTTTCTAACATATGTGATGTCTTTCTGCTTGTGGGTAAACAGTATTTCTTGTTGTTTCTTTGTCAGTGTTGATGTGGAGAGTGTCTGGTTTGCCTCCTCTGGAACATGCAACATATCATAGTCCTTCTTTAATGGTCTCTTTCAAATCTGTGATACTATATCTGTGTGTGTGAGAGAGAATCATATCTATCTATATATTTATGACTGGATGGCTCTTTGTCAGGAGGGCTCTGATTACATTTTCTTGCCCTGGTGAAGAGAGTTGGACTGGATGGCCTTAAGTATTTTCTGTTGGTCATGGGGGTTCTGTGTGAGAAATTTGCCCCAGTTCTGTCATTTGTGGGATTCAGAATGCTCTTTGATTGTAGGTGAACTATAAATCCCAGTAACTACAAATCCAAATGTCAAGGTCTATTTCCCCCAAACTCCATCTGTGTTCATATTTGGGCATATGGAATATTCGTGCCAAGTTTGGTCCAGATCCATCATTGTTTGAGTCCACAGTGCTCTCTGGATGTAGGTAAACTACAACTCCCAAACTCAAGGTCAATGCCCACCAAACCCTTCCAGTGTGTTCTGTTGGTCATGGAAGTCCTGTATGCCATGTTTGGTTCAATTCCATCATTGGTGGAGTTCAGAATGCTCTTTGATTGTAGGTGAACTATAAATGCCAGCAACTACAACTCCCAAATTTCAAGATCTATGTCCCTTAAACTCTATCTGTGTTCATATTTGGGCATATGGAATATTTGTGCCAAGTTTGGTCCAGATCCATCATTGTTTGAGTCCACAGTGCTCTGGATGTAGGTGAACTACAACTCACAAACTCAAGGTCAATGCCCACCAAACCCTTCCATGTTCTGTTGGTCATGGAAGTCCTGTATGCCATGTTTGGTTCAATTCCATCATTGGTAGAGTTCAGAATGCTCTTTGATTGTAGGTGAACTATAAATGCCAGCAACTACAACTCCCAAATTTCAAGATCTATGTCCTTTAAACTCCATCTGTGTTCATATTTGGGCATATGGAATATTTGTGCCAAGTTTGGTCCACATCCATCATTGTTTGAGTCCACAGTGCTCTCTGGATGTGGGTGAACTATAATTCCCAAACTCAAGGTCAATGCCCACCAAACCCTTCCAGTGTGTCCTGTATGCCATGTTTGGTTGAATTCCATCATTGGTGGAGTTCAGAATGCTCTTTGATTGTAGGTGAACTATAAATGCCAGTAACTACAACTCCCAAATTTCAAGATCTATGTCCCTTAAACTCCATCTGTGTTCATATTTGGGTGTATTGAGTGCTTGTGCCAAGTTTGGTCCAGATCCATCATTGTTTGAGTTCACAGTGCTCTCTGGATGTAGGTGAACTACAACTCCCAAACTCAAGGTCAATGCCCACCAAACCCTTCCAGTGTGTTCTTTTGGTCATGGAAGTCCTGTATGCCATGTTTTGTTCAATTCCATCATTGGTGGAGTTCAGAATGCTCTTTGATTGTAGGTGAACTATAAATGCCAGCAACTACAACTCCCAAATTTCAAGATCTATGTCCCTTAAACTCCATCTGTGTTCATATTTGGGCATATGGAATATTTGTGCCAAGTTTGGTCCAGATCCATCATTGTTTGAGTCCACAGTGCTCTCTGGATGTGGGTGAACTATAATTCCCAAACTCAAGGTCAATGCCCACCAAACCCTTCCAGTGTGTCCTGTATGCCATGTTTGGTTGAATTCCATCATTGGTGGAGTTCAGAATGCTCTTTGATTGTAGGTAAATTATAAATCCCAGCAACTACAACTCCCAAATGACATAATCAATTTTTTTGAGTGGAGGACATAAATTGGACTGTTAGGTGTCTTGTGTCCAAATTTGGTGTCAATTCCCCCAGTGGATTTTGAGTTCTGATGGTAGCACGAACTAACATTACATTTTTATTTAGATAGATAGTAATTATATTGGAGAGTTTCTCCTGACATTGGATGGCGCAAGTTATAGGTTCGCCATCCTCTCCAGAACATTTCAAGAGTGTTATTGGCCAGCCCTGGACTTCTTAGTGGCGGCTTCAAATCTGGCCATGCTCTATGCGGGGCGCAATAAGCACAGGCTTACTTTTGATGAATTGTCCCAAAGGGAGGTCTTCCGCTTCTCGAGGCTTGATTTTCAGCTCCTCCTTTAAGTCCGCCTTCGTCATTTCTGCAATGTTCTTCCGTGGAGCCTCCTCCTAGAAACAAAAGGCAGAAGAAGGCGTCAGGATCCCCAGGACTTCTCGGAAAAGGAGTCCTGCAAGCCAGAGAATGCAAGCCAGAGAAAGCTCTCCCGGCGGTGGCCGGGAGAGCTTTTGCACAACTAAAACTTGTGCGCCAGCTGCGCCCGTACCTTGGGAAGTCGGACTTGGCCACAGTGGTCCACGCTCTTGTTACATCCCGATTGGATTACTGCAACGCACTCTACGTGGGGTTGCCTTTGAAGACTGCTCGGAAACTCCAACTGGTCCAGCGAGAGGCAGCCAGATTGCTCACCGGAGCGTCATACAGGGAGCACACCACCCCCCTGCTGTGTCAGCTCCACTGGCTGCCGATCCAATTCCGAGCACAATTCAAAGTGCTGGTTTTGACCTACAAAACCCTAAACGGTTCCGGCCCAGTGTATCTGTCCGAACGGATCTCCCTCTACGTCCCACCTCGGAACCTAAGATCCTCTGAGGAGGCCCTGTTCTCGACCCCGCCTCTATCACAAGTGAGATTGGCGGGGATGAGGAGCAGGGCCTTCTCGGTGGTGGCCCCCCGCCTGTGGAACTCACTCCCCGGGGAGATTAGATCGGCAACGTCCCTTCTTTCATTTAAGAAGAGGTTGAAGACCTGGATGTGGGACCAGGCATTTGGACATTCTGGCAGTTAAAGAAAGACTTGATGACGAGCTGGAATTGGACAATACGGAATGGATTTATGGAACTCCGAACGCTGAGCTCAGGATTAGCCTACTACTGCGTTTATGGTGTTGTTGTGTATTGATGATTTAATTTGTAATTTGTAATTGCTTAATTGTTTTTATATATGTATGTATATGTGACAAGGCATCGAATTGTGCCTTTCTCTGTAAGCCGCCCTGAGTCCCCCCTTGGGGGTGAGAAGGGCGGGGTAAAAGTGACGGAAATAAATATATAAATAATAAATAAGAAGGGGCCACAAGGACAACGGAGGAGTCCAGCGGGCTTCCTTGGGGAATAATCAGTTGCATTATATGGTCAGTGCACATTCTTATAATGCAGTTGAACTGCATTGGACTGCATGATAGCAATCAAACTGCATTATACGGCAGTGTAGATGGGGTTGAAAGGGTCTTTGAGTGAAATTTGCAAATGCTAAGCAAGAGGCTTTGAATGAAATTAACAGCAAAAGAGAAATATACAAAAGATTGCTCCAGGCACTAACAAGCCACACCAAACAAGGGCCAGGCCATCAAAAGCTAACCAAGGTGGTCAGTTGAAACATTCATACCTAGCTCCAACAGACAAGAGTCCTTTGTCCCACCCTGGTCACATCACAGATATATAATAAACCCATTTTCCTAGTTCCAACAGTCCTCACAACCTCTGAGGATGCTTGCCATAGATGCAGGCGAAACATCAGGAGAGAATGCCTCTAGAACAGTGTTTCTCAACCTTCCTAATGCCACGACCCCTTAATACAGTTCCTCATGTTGTGGTGACCCCCAACCATAAATTTTTGTTACTACTTCACAACTGTGATTTTGCTACTGCTATGAATCATAATGTAAATATCTGATATGCAGTAAATATTCTCACTCACTGGACCAAATTTGGCACAAATACTCAATATGACCAGATTTGAATACTGGTGGGGTTCAGGCAAATTGATTTTGGGAGTTGTAGTTGCTGGGATTTATAGTTCGCCTACAATCAAAGAGCATTTTGAACTCCACCAAGGATGAAATGGAACCAAACTTGGCATACACAACTCCCATGACCAACAGAAAACAGTAGAAGGGTCTGGTGGGCATTGACTTTGAGTTTGGGAGTTGTAGTTCACCTATATCCAGAGAGCACTGTGGACTCAAACAATGATGGATCAGGACCAAACTTGGCACGGATACTCAATATGCCCAAATGTGAACACTGGTGGAGTTTGGGGAAAAACAGACCTTGGCATGTGGGAGTTGTAGTTGCTGGGATTTATAGTTCACTTACAATCAAAGAGCATTCTGAACCCCACCAATGATAGAATTGGACCTAACTTTCCACACAGAACTCAGATGACCAACAGAAAATACTGTGTTTTCTAATGGTCTTTGGCGACCCCTCTGATACATCCTCACGACCCCCACAGGGGTCCCGAACCCCAGGTTGAGAAACACTGCTCTAGAACATGGCCATACAGCCCAAAAAAACCCTACAACAACCCAGTATATAAAGGTCTTTGTTAGTGGTGGCTGTGGTTGATTGTTAGCAAAGACCTCACTACCTCTGAGGATGCTTGCCATAGATGCAGGCCAAACGTCAGTAGAGAATGCTTCTAGAACATGGACATATAGCCCAAAAAACCTACAACCTAGTGATTCCAGCCATGAAAGCCTTCGACAATACGTCAGTAACGATGTTAAGCAAGGTGGGTGCAAAAGCCACCCATTCTTTTGCCTCCTCCATCTACTTTCCCTGCCTTGAAACTCCAGATAGTAGCTGCAGTCTTCTAGGAGGGTCTGCTCAGTTTTTGTGAAATATCATCCGTATGGGCTTTGGCTTGTCCTTGCCAGCATTGTTTTGGCTGGCGTTTTCTGTTGGATCGAACGTTGCACTGCTGTCTGCCTGTGGCTGAGCCAAGCCTACTCTTCCCAAAAAGCTTTTTGCAGATGGATTTCCAGAGGTGCCAAAAATGGGAGATTATTAGAAATCGGGGAAAGGTGCTGGTGGGGATTGCCCGTTGAAGTGTTGAGTTATTCCACACGCACAGGCTCCGCTGTCCTCGTGTGCCCTCAGTGAGATCCCTGTCCTTCCATCTGATGAGTCACACCGTTTCGTGACAGAACGCAATTCATTCATTTCGGGCTTCCTGCTGAAAGGGAGGAATCACCAAGCGAGGAAGCCCCCCAAGAGAAAAGGCAAGGCAGCCTTTCGCGTGCCTTCGGTGCCAGGAATCGTGACAACAAAGGCATGCTCTGGATTAGTACATTTATCCATTTCTTGGATTCGTTACAAGCCAGTCAAGATTTCGAACAATTTTGATAATTTGATGCCATGGAGAAGAGCCAGCAGCTTTTGGGGAAGCCATAACATCAGGATCAGGACCAAACTGATGCACAATGTATTGTCGAAGGCTTTCATGGCCGGAATCACTGGGTTGCTGTAGGTTTTTTCGGGCTATATGGCCATGGTCTAGAGGCATTCTCTCCTGACGTTTCGCCTGCATCTATGGCAAGCATCCTCAGAGGTAGTGAGGTCTGTTGGAACTAGGAAAATGGGTTTATATATCTGTGGAATGACCAGGATGGGACAAAGGACTCTTGTCTGCTGGAGCTAGGTTCCCTTCACCTTAGACCGAACACTAACATTTAGGAAACACTGCATTAACACCAAGCACAAAGTAGCTGAACGCATAACATTCTACTGGCAGCACATGGGGAGCAGACCCAAAATTAATAAGAACATCAGCCCTGGCCTTGTCTTGCTCAACTGCCAAGTATGTTTGCCCTGTTTGGCACAAGTCTGCCCATGCGAAGGGATTGCCTAAGTAAGTAAGTAAATAAGCAGCGCCTATGAGGAGCGGCTTTAGGAGCTGGGCATGTTTAGCCTGAAGAAGAGAAGGCTGAGAGGAGATATGATAGCCATGTATAAATACGTGAGAGGAAGCCACAGGGAGGAGGGAGCAAGCTTGTTTTCTGCTTCCCTGGAGACTAGGATGCAATGGAAAAATGGCTTCAAACTACAAGAAAGGAGATTCCATCTGAACATGAGGAAGAACTTCCTGACTGTGAGAGCCGTTCAGCAGTGGAACTCTCTGCCCTGGAGTGTGGTGGAGGCTCCTTCTTTGGAAGCTTTTAAACAGAGGCTGGATGGCCATCTGTCAGGGGTGATTTGAATGCAATATTCCTGCTTCTTGGCAGAATGGGGTTGGACTGGATGAGGGCCCAGGAGGTCTCTTCCAACTCTTTGATTCTAGGATTCTATGATTAAGCAGAATAATCACAGGATGTCTTAAACCTTTACCTGTTGATAAACTCTGCAAACTAGCTGTCATTGTCCTCCCCCCGGATGTGCAAGCGCAAGTTGCTGCCAACTGGGAGAGAAATAAGGTTGAACCCTGTGAAAGCCACCCACTGCATGGCTACCAGCCTCTTCCCAGTAGACTCCAATCAAGGGAAAGTAGACTCAAATCAAGGGTTAGACCTCACTTTCTCTCTTTCAAGAGAAAGAAACTTTAACAACCATCCGCTCAGAGCATCGCTGTTAAAAACTTGGAAGAAGTATAAGGAGAGATTATACACGAGAACTCCAATGTGGATAGCTCCTAATGAGGCAGAACAGCGTAGAGAGTCATCGAACGAAAAGTGGCTGACTTATAGGCAGTTATTAAAGATCGACAACCAAGAGATAAAACTAAAATCACTTGAAGAAATAAGACAATTATACCCCAAATTCTCATGGTTTCAATACTGGCAGGTCAACGAAAACTTTAAAGAAGACAAAAGAATAGGGTTCGAGACAAAAGAAAAAGTATGGGATAAGATATTGAAAACGGAGAAAAAGATGAGCAAAAGACTGTACCAGCAATTACTAGTTTGGGCGACGGAAGAAGAACAGGTCAAGGAGGTTATGGTCAAATGGGCCAGGATGATTGGGCGAACAATTACTATGTCAGAGTGGGAGGAAATGTGGAGTAAAAAACTTAAATACGCATACGCCACCGAAATTAAAGAGAACTGGATTAAAATGTTTTACCTTTGGTACCTGACCCCTGAGAAGATAGCAAAATACAGCAAAGGAAAATCTGACAAGAACTGCTGGCGATGTATGAGGAAAAAAGGAACATTCAGACACATGTGGTGGGAATGCAAGAAGGTAAAGAAATTCTGGAAATTGATATATCAAAAAATTAAGGACATATTAGGAATTGAAATAGCATTTAGTCCAGAACTATTTCTACTATGAATGAACAACCCAGACATGAATAGAAACGATGAAAAAATTCTCTTTTACCTTACCACCGC